ATTTAAGTAATGGAATAAATATTGTGGAGTGAGCTTATAAAATACTATGCAGTATTTGTGAAATTCTTGACTTTTAAATTTGGCCTCCTTAAGTCATCATTTGTCTCCCCTGTGCTTTAATTTTCAAGTTACATAATTCTGTCTCTCTCCCCCTTATAGGGCATGGGATACTTTGATTAAAATATGATCGAGACCAAGGTACAGACACATTGCCATTGCAAAACTTTTTTGTTTTAATTTCCACATTAGCAATTAAGAGGGCAGATGGCTTTGTGTTTCTTGAAAATGTCATTAAAATATCATGATAAGCCTCATGTTTCTTAGACACCCAAAGGACTCTAGGAATTGTTTGGCAGATGAACAAATCTGATGTTTGAGGAGGTGCTGATTCTGTGCTGCTAAATAATATTACATGCTTTCCCAGTTCTCAGTGACTGGGATCTGAGGTATAATTTACAAAGACTAGTTTTTCTTCTTCAATATGAATTTAGACCAAATGGAAGTCCCAAGTCTTATTCAGACCATAGTCTGGTTTGACTCACATGATGTTTTTTTGTTTTGTTTTGTTTTTAAATATTTATTTATTTATACAAGCACTGGGTACAGTCAGAAGTGCAGGAGGGTGAGAGAATTCACCAGAGCCAGAGCTGGGGACAGAACAGGCAGACCTACGAAATACTCTGCTGAGGGGAGCAGCAAGCGCAACAGGAGAGGTCTGTTGAGCCATGTGGGACTCTCGCCGGCCGGCCTGGATAGAACCGGCGCTGCAGAGGCGGAGGGCAGCTGCGCAGCCCAGCGCTCAACCGCTGCGCCACCAGGGGAGGCCCTCACATGATGTTTTAATTAATTTATATATTTGCATTTTTTTGATGTGATACTGGTTTACAATACTGTATGTGATTCAGAGGTATATGTTCACACCTCTCCAGTAACACATGGTGTTTTTAAAACAGCTGTTGCCAATATTTACACTTTAATAGAATTTTCAGCTTCTTTTAGAGGAAAACAAAGGTCTAGCCATACTGAGCCCACACTTCTGTAAGGAAGAGTCCTGGGAAAGGGGCCAACAGCATTAATATCACCTGGGAACTTGTTAAAGACACAAAGACTCAGGCTCCATCCCAGATCTGCTCTCACTGGGTCCAGCCTTGCATGTTTAATGAGCTCTCGGGTGATTCTGCTACATCCCTAAATTTTGGAGCAACTGCTCTAAGGTAATGATTGGCAGGAGCAGAATAGCAACAACTCAGTTGCAATGGCAATGCGCTCCCAATTGTGACAATGCCCTCCCAATTGTGACAATGCCTCCATGTCTCTAACTGCACAGCCCATCATGCAGTTGTCAATACTGCTCAGACGCTGCAGTGATGTCAGCCTACAAGCCCTAAGCTGACCCCAGCTGACTCTAAGAATTTTGACTGTCCTTGTGCCTGTGTCTGTTTCAGGAGTTAACTGCTGGATGAACAGAGGAGATGAAGAAATACATCAACATCCTACACTGGAGGTGGGGCGATATCAAGGGGGACTGGGCCAAAACCTGGGGAGAAAATGTTCCTCTAGGTTGAAGAACTGGAGGACTGTAGTCTACACTGGATCATCTTGAAGGTGAAGACCAAGTAAGTGAAGGGTCATGGTAGTACTCGAGGTACTATTCAGGTCCAGGATGTGCATGGGTTGGAAGGACTCGAGATGAAAGCAGGCTTGGTGGCTAGAGACTCTTCTGAATGACACTAGGAGTTGGCATCGTAGGGATTTTAAAGGAACCCTTGGTCACAGAGAAAACTGGGAAGCAGTCTGGCCACCAGAGTGTTGCCAATGGGGAGTAGTATTAAAATTTTATCTCTATTCTCTTTTCTGGGACCATGAATATAGTCATATTTATCATGTAGCTGATACCTGTTTCCCTTTGCTGCTATTTCCAACCTAGCCATGAGTGATGAAGTCTTGAGTGAAGGACTGTTGGAGATTAAGGCAGGAGAGTAAAGGCGAGGATGCTGACATTCACGTCTCCCTGTGATTCCAGGAGGTGGAGGTTGCAGTTTGGGAGTGGCAGTGCAGCAGCAAACATGGGTGTCCACTGGTCCCCAGGAAAGCAATGGATACAGAGATGAGTTTGAAACTCAGAAGGCAAATGTGAAACTGCTCATTTTCCAGAAACATTAGAGGGGGCTCCTGAAAGGAGCAAGGAAAGCCTATCCTTAAGAGTACAGAGGGGTTGGCAAATCATGCTGGCATAATGCAACATAACAAAAAAGTATAATTGCTGTTTAACTGCAAAAGAAATTACATATTTAGTCCAGTTAAAGAGGGAAAAATTGAAAGACATGCCTTTCTCCCCACGTCTATCTTTTAAAGGAGCCAATTAAAGAATAACTTTAAAATTCAATTTCAAGTGATTTAAGTAATAAAGAAAGCATGCCAATCTGGAATAATATGTTCAAAAAAGTTTGTGCTGGTTTTGATTTTAAAATTCTAATTTTGACCCAAGAGATTTCTCAGAAATCTATGTTATTGTTGCAGTCAAGCAACTTCCTTTAGATTATTACCATATCTGAGCACCCCATTAGGGAGTTATCCCTTTGCCACATTCTCACTTTAGGCTTGTGATTTATTTTTTCCAGAAGGCTGGCTCTCAGCATTCTAGAATGTTGCATCCCTAACAATGGAGTCGTGGCTGGCTCAGAGAAGGCACTTGACAAATATGTGCGTGTTGAATGAATGAAGGAACCAGAATCCCTTTGTAAACAATTCTTTTGGAAACATTCGGTTTTTTTTTAAAAAAAAAAAAAGCTCAGGTCAACAGTCCCATACAATGAGACAGCTGCCACCTTTGATGCTAGCACTCCACAAGGTACCATGTACATTAGCGCCAGAGATTACATAGAAGGTGTAATGTTATAAAGCAATACTAACAATTAAAAGGCCAGAAAGTAAGTTTTCAGAGTAAGATGGTATTTGCAAATTTTTTTTAAGATTTTATTTATGCATACAAGGGCTGGGGTGCAAGGCAGAGGTGCAGGGGGTGAGAGGATTTACCAGAGACAAAGTGGGGAGCAAAACAGGCAGATCTACTGAAATACACTGCTGAGGGGAGCAGAGGGTGGGCGAGACAGGGGAGGTCTGCTGCACCATGATAGTTAGCTCCCTGGCCAGGAACTGAAATTGTGCTGCAGTGGCTGCCTATAGCTGCATAGTGCTGAGACTTAACCCCTTGTGCCACCAGGGAAGCCCCAGATTTTTGCAAATCTTAACCATCTAACTGAATGATTTCACTAGGTGGTATATACCCTATAGAATACCACTGCAAGGAAAGGCAAAGTGTATTCTGTAGCTTCATGACATAGATCAGAAACATCAGGAGCTGCTAGAAAAATGTCTATACATGTAATCCTGATAGGGAATGTTACAAGGCTCAGAAACAAAATCCTAAAGAACATTAGTGGCTAGAAACCAATAGAGAAGAAATTTAGAAATTTAGTATGTTTTACACACAACTACACAAAGGTTTTTGCAACATTAAGACATGCAGATAGATTTGTAATATGAAATCTATATGGATTCTTAGTAAAAACCTCCCTGATTGTCATTGTCATTTATTGAATGTTTTTAATTGAGAGTTAATGAATATCATGAAGTGGCCAATTCTTAATCTGAATGTAATTACTATTGCAGTAAATATTTTTCAAGTATTTATATTTATTTATATATGTTCATCTGTGCATATACTGAGAAATAGTGCATGGAACTCTACAAGTTACTACCAGGATACCAGGATGAGAACTATGCAAGGCACGCACAATGCTGTGAGACAATGTTCACTGAAGTGGTCTCTCCAAGCAAAAATTGTAGGATAGAAGCAAATGGGGTCTTGGTTCTTAAAGAGCGAAAGTAGATTAGGTTTGTAACACAATTTTGGAGAGCAGTTTCTTAAGAACTCAGAGTGTAACTGGTTGGCATTATATTCATTCCATTATAAGAACTGAAATCAATGTTATGTAAATGTTGGAAATAAACCTCTATCGTAATCACTTAAAGGTCAGTAGCTCGGTGTCAGAGCACCGAAGGTTAGAAAATTTTACATTCTGATGCCCAAACAATACTGGTCTGATATCACCTGTAGTTGTGATCTGTGAATGTGAAAAGCTCTATAACAACACATGTACGACATCCAGACTTCAAAGTATTCTGAGATTTATATTCTCTAGTCTTGAAGGAAAATGTTGGAAGGGAATGGATCATCACCATAACCTATAAACTGTAAATATGGACAAACACAGCTCTTCTTCAATATATTCAGTTCAGTGCTAGTTTAACAGGAACTGGATATTTTGAGAGAAAGTAGCAAACTTTGCGTCCTAGGTTCTAAGAATTCACAGCTTCTTGTTTGAAATATCTTGTTGACAAGCTAGTTGTTTCTGTATGCCTCTGAAAGGACAACTATCTTGGTAGATTAGCAATCTCTTAATGGTGAGGCCAGGTCTAATTCATCTTTTTTCCTAGTCCATAGCTAAATAAGTATTATTAATTACATTTTTTATTTTTTATATTTTATTCTTTATTATATTAATTGAACAGCCACTATGTGCCTGGCCATGGGCTAGATAGTGTGAAGGTGAAAGAAGTTAAAAAGGTACTGAAGGTGTGTGGTTTCAAGGAAAGTACTGAAAAGGGAATGAGGATGGATGTGGCATGGGGTGAGGCTAAGAGAGAATGAGTTAGAATAAGATGCTTAGGGGAAATGGAATGCATTTTATCTGTACTTTTTTGCAAAGAAGTTATATCAAAAGCCTTACTCCTAATGAAAAATCTCCATAATTCTAAGTAGATGCCATTATTTGAAAGTGTTTGAATTACACTTCTCCTTGGCAGCTGAATTATTTTTAGGTGAAATTTTAGCACATATTAAGTATGAAAAAAGCTCAGTTTTTCACAGGCAGACGTGCAAGATGATAAAGATTCAGGTTACAGTGACAAATTTCAATAGTTTCTATACACCATACCTTGGCCACTTCTTCTTGGAAAGCCACGAGATTCAAATGGGAGATGTTAACTAAGTCAGGTCCATACACCACTGTTATCATGCGATGTTCCAGGCGTCCAATGTTCCCCACGTCCAAAAGTTCTCGTAATTTGGGGTCCTGGATAATACATGTTGAAAAAGTTAGTCTGTGAATTAGAGATTCCAACAAGGTAGCATAATCTCAATAAAATTATAGTTAATGACTTCAAAACAAAGTTGCCTTTATTCTTACTAGAAAATGATATGAGTTGAAGTCCTTCACCCCATAATGATCCAGAGGTGAAATAATTTGCCCAGAGTCATGGATGTATTGTCTTTGTGGAATTATATTAGCCAAATAAACCAGAGAAAGCTAAATACTGTTTGGTACCACTTATATGTAGAAACAGAGAATAGAATGTGTTTGCCTAACACTTGGGGATGGGGACATGGGGAGATGTTGATAAAAGGGTACAAATTTCCAGATATGAGATAAATAAGTTCTGGGGTCTAATGCACAGCATGGTGATTGCAGCAATGATTCTATATTCTATATATATATATAGACTATCATAGATATAATATAATAATATAATATTATAATAATATATATATATATATATATATATATATATAGGCGATCCCAAGGGATTAGCTCTAAATGTTTTCATGGCAAAAAAAAAAAAAGGTCATTATGTGATGATGTGATGCAGCTGTCAGCTAATGCTATGATGTTAATGATTTTATAATTGTTCATATAAGTATCAAATCAATACGTTGTACACGTAAATTTATGCTGGTGTGCCATGCCAATTATATCTCAATAAAGCTGGGGGGGAGACTTAAGGTCCTCAGTCAAGAGCCCATTTATCATCATGTCATTCACTAACACTTTTGCATATGCCACAATTCTCCCTCCCTCTATTTCCTTCCAATTGTCCCACACCCCGCATATTGAAATGCAAAATCTCATCCTTTTCTTCAAATCATGGACGCATTCACATATTGATGGTTGTCATAAAATTAAAGCAAAACAACATCATCTAGAGGTGGAGAGTAAATACATCTGCTGTTCAGAGCAAGGACCTTCTCTAACACAGTGAAAATGGGAAGAAACAACTTGCTCAATTGAACAAAATGGCAGCACTTGCCATGACCATGTTATTTTCAAGGACACACTGAAATTTGGACTTAGAGAAGTTCTTTTGTCTTTTCAGAGCAATTTTCACGCTTTGAAACATTGTAAATGAGGATTCCTTGGAGATAAAGTCCTACTGAGAAAAATGAAACCACCAAATTCAAGGACCTAAAATAGGGTTCAGTTAGCTTGACTGAATTTATTTTCCTCTCACAGGGCCCTCTTTGAAAGGAGTTAAGGTCCATGCAGAAAATTAGCATTAACTCAATTACTTTGCAACTTGTCAGCCAGCTTCTGAATTAGGAAGGAACTTGTATTTTTATTTATTTAGCTAAATACTGGGTAAACAGGGGCTAATTATTTAGGTTGGTTATTCTGATTCCCATGTGAGGTTTTTAGATACAGCATTCTTACAATGTAAGAGTGGACTAACAAGGAAGAAAAAAGAAAGAAAAGAAACAAAATCTTTCCAGCTGAGTTACTTGACTTGGTGTGATTAATTCTCTCTTAATCAAGCTTTCTCCTTTGTTTGATGGCATGAAGAGGAACATATTTAGGTAAGTTAAGAAGAGAGAAAATCCTATTTCAAAGCTGTGCCCGATATAACTAACACTTCAACTTGACTAACAAGTTGAGAACTTATCAAGTACATCGGGCCTTCTACTGGAAAAATATGTCGACTTTTCTGACAACCCAATAGAAAATATCAAATGCTATCAAAAAATGTCAATTTTTGCCTGCCCTAGAAATGGAGAGGAATACAATAAAAAAAATTATTAGCTAAACAATAATGGCAGAAAAGGGAAACTTTTGGCATTCTAGCATTAATGAAAAACTAAAGGAGAATGTTCAGGAAAATGGACTTATTGTGAAAACTAAACAATGATACCATCTGCTCTGTGAAATGATTAACTGCATCTCAGTTTTTAAACACTGATGAGGTAAGGTTAAAAGAATATATATTTGATCAGTACTTTATTATCTTTTATATACTTGGAAGAGTAATTCTCAGAAACAATGTGATACTTGTAATTAGAAATCATAAGTTTTAAATCAGTGATACAGGTTCCATCAATACTTCACATTTAATGGCAAAAAAATTGGGAATACTTTGAAATTTTTCTTTCCTTCCAATGAGAACCACATGACACATCCTCAGACGCTGATCTCTCTCAAGCATTTTGTGTTTAGTCCATACTATTTGACTCCCTAATTCTCATGTCCATTCAGAAAGATTTTTGTCCACTTTATTAAAAAGTTAATTGATGAAAGAGTGCCACCTTTCCGAACTGCAGGGACTATGTGTTGCGATCAGGCAGTATACTTGAATTATCCTTGAGATAAAAACTAAAAGTAAGTAGAGAGCACCCAGAGGAAGTACCCAGAATAGAAAATAATTCCAGAAAAGTGCTCTGGGATTAATTATTACCGCTCTTACCAAAATTCTTAGGTATAGTTAATAGGAATTTATAAGATGATGAACCCGTTGTGGTAGCTTTGTAAAGTTTTCCCATTAGTGATTGTTTACATATATTTAAAAATTCTATTGGTCATTAGGTAATTAGAAAATTAGGGGCTACAGTCACTGTACCTGGGGGTGATCCTATACTTTCAAAACACCGGCAAGGATATAATATAATGGTACTTCAAAAATAAAATAAAAAGAAAATTGAGTTACTTAGAGGTGATTTCTGGGATTGGGTAGATAAAGCTGGCAGGCAAATGATGATGAAAATTGAATCTGAGGGGATACTTAAAAAGATATTTGTCCTTACAGGTATAAAACATTTCCCTCAGTAGTTTTCAGCAGAGGGAATCCTCAGAGAATAGCCAAAGGGGAATTATCTGGAAGGATAAAAAGCAATGGCACCAACTTTTTGGAGGACCTCATAAGGTGAAAGAAACAGGATGGAGAAAGATAACTTAAAAATGACATCAGTCTCAGTTCTGAGGATATGAATGGCTACATTACAAAAACAAAATCAAAATGGTAACAAGTACTGACAATTTGCCTGAAAACCATCCTTCCCCCACACCTTTTTTTTCTTTTTTTAAAGATTTATTTATTTATGCATTCAAGAACTGGGGTACAGGCCAGAGGTATAGGGATGAGAAGATTCACCAGAGAAAGTGGGGAACAAAACAGGCAGACTGACCGAAATACACTGCTGAGGGGAGAGGTGGGTGAGACAGGAGAGTCTGTTGCACCATGTGGGTAGCTCCCTGGCTGGCTGGGGGATCGAATTCAAGCTGCAGAGGCTGAGGATAGCTTCACAGTGCTGTGCTTAACCCTTTGTGCCACCAGGGAGGGAGGGACACCCCCCACACCTGTTTTGCTAAAGCATATTCTGAGTGTTTCTTATTTTTTTTAATTTATTTATTTTTTATACAATAGCTGGGGTACAGGCCAGAGGCGAGGGAGGGTGGGAGGATTCACCAGAGACAGAGCAGGGGGCAGAATAGGCAAACAACAGAAATATACTGCTGAGGGGAGCAGCGGGCGCGACAGGAGGGTGAGGTCTGCCACACCATGTGGGATTAACCCTCACTGCAGAAGCTGCAGACATCTTCACAGCGTGGTGCTCAACCTGCTGTGGCTTAGCACTGGGGAGGCCCCTGAGTGTGCATTATTGATGGAGCCTCCGGCTGAATTTTCAGAGAAGCATTTACCTATTCAGATTTCTACCAACTCCAACACATTTCTTCATCCCTGCAAACTAATATATGAATTCCTTGAAATTTTTAACAAAGGGAAAAAGCTATCTCTAAAACTCTATAAAATTGTTCAATTTTTCTGTTGAAGAACATTGCAGAATAGAGCTCAGAAAAGAAAAAATAGCAGGTGAAGTGAACTTAGAATTTCTTATTTTCATTAAGTTATCACTCAAGACTTGCTTCCCCAGAATACCCTGGATAAGCTGCCACACTTGGAATTAACCAGACCAACTAAGAATCCTGACAGCTATAACTTAACTGCACTTCTAAAGTTAAGTCCTAGATCATCTCTATTCCCAACTGACTTACAAGACAGATACTGGCTGAATAAATAAGCTTACTTTCTCACAATCATCAGGATTCGTGATTAAATTATTTCACATCCTGTTGCAAATAAAGTCAAACTGCTCAAGGTAATGATTTCTATTTCCAGATAAAAAGTCACTGAAGAAGGTAAAGAATATTCTATACATGAGACACAAGGAGTCCTCTACAGTATTTGCTACTATAATTACATTATTTAAATTACTAGAAATTAGTGGAAGGAATAAACACAATCTAAAGCCCTAAATGCCAGTCCAACCTCATTTCTTAATAGGACTTCGAATGAAATGCTTTGTATTTGCCTGTCAGATACAAAATGAAATATATGTGAGACATTTAGATTTCATTTTTTTGTTTGTATTTTTTTAAATTGAGGCAACACTGGTTTACAACATTGGATATGATTTAAAAATAGATTTCATTTTTGACACCAGAAGCATTTTGTGCAGAAAATAACTTACTGAGTTTTCATCCCTTTGAGATATATATATATATATATATATATCTCAAATCCCATAAAGATATAGATATATATCTTTATGGGATTTTAGGCTTACTGAACAACTTGAATATTAGGTTCATTTTATTTCCAGCACTTAATGCAATATTCTCAATCTGAATCACAGTTATATGGATGTAACTTTAATTCATCACTCATATGAAGGAGCTAGTGTCTGAAAGCTTTTCTATTAAGAGTCAGTACAACAGTCGGAAATGAAAGAGAGGGATCCCTAGTTATACCTAAGTGACAGTCTTCTTGTTGAGCTTTATGCGATAAAACTAGCTTTTTGTTGAAGGCAGAAGAGATTCTCTTTATGCTTTATTCAAGTGTTGTTGTAAAGAAAAGCTATAAACTTATGCCCAGGATGGTTCTCTATCAAGTCCAAAATTGAACATTTGCCTCTCAAACAACAGCATATTAAGAATTTACCTCGGAATCAATACTTATGTGTCCCCTCACA